GGCCTGAATGATGTCACATTCTGGCTTCCGGCATCACAGAGTGTGCACAAGGGAGGAGTGAAAAGCTTCAAGAACAGTCTCCCTTGCCACCCTCACTGCCGCTGCCTGCCTCCTCTCCTCTGACATTTATCAGCAGAGCAGTCACCTGCTATTGATGTAGAATTATTAAAATCTTTATTAGAACCTGTATTGAATTATTGTACTAACTCCATTTTGTTCACCTTACATGACAGAATTTCCTGACAGTATTCAGTATAATGAATAAGAGATTGTATTTTCTCTCTCTAAGGACATAACTAGCCCCGGAGTTAGCGGATCTCCGTTGACTTGAAACATAGTATAATCCAAGGCCAGGAGAACAGTGACAAAATGAAATGTTCTATTCATAAAAGAACCTTGGAACAGACCACGAGACTGACATCACTAACTACGTAAAATGACGCCCAAGCCCCCCTTTCCACCGAGTAAGCCTCGTGCTAAAGAGCAATGGCGACGACATCCCATGATGGGAGGGTGCCTCACTAGTCACTCAAATCTCTGAGCCAATTAATAATATTAATGGGTGGACACTGACATAGCCACTTAACATTTAACCCAATTAATGATGTTTATTTGTTATTATCTGATATTCAATGATGATGTCATTTTGCATATAAAAAGGCCTGCGTGCCCACTTTTTAACTAGATGCTAATAAATTTCCTGAAGTGTTTTTAACCTGAACTGCATGTGTCAGTGTGAACTTACTTCTGCGTATACGCAATTTATTCATCTCAGATTTGGACAGGAACAGATAGACTTTTAAACATTTTTGTTTATTTCTAAATTAATCTTGTTCAATCTGGCGTCCATCCAACGTGGGGCATCGGGCTATGGCCTCCGCCGGTAAGCCGTCCTAAGGAAGACGCTGTTGGACGGAGGAATCAGGGGGGAAGGAAGAGAGACTGATCACCTCTGAGTACACGGTAGAGACTTCTGCAGGAGCCACCGGTATGTTCCAGCCCCTTTGATTGACCCGTCCACGTGTCTGTGACTGCTTCCCGGGAGGGCATCAAAGACAGGTAATATCTTGCCCGGTGTCTTGTTATCCATTTGTTTACCTGCATTTAGTCTATCTGTTGCCTGGGTGTGCTAGTGGTATATGTTTTGTGTCTTTCCCTCTTTAGAGATAAAGGGGGGTGGACCCGTGGGTGGTTGCCTGGGGGTCTTCTGTTGCCTGTTTTTACCCCTTTTTAGGAGTCACTTGGCCCAGACTGTTGGGAAAAAAGGGGGGGTGGACCTGTGGGGATTTTCCAAAGGGGTCCTGTTTTCCTGTTTACTTCTTTTAGGTACTGTCTAGCTAACAGTAGTAAGGAAAAAGAAGGGTTGGGGGATTCTGTGGAGGGGACTTGCCTCCTGGGGTTTCCCGGTTACGTCACTTTGATATTCTAGCTAGCCTCATTGTGTACGTTGCTCTGCTTGCAGAGGTTATGGTACCCTCCAGCTTCGAGCGCTGAGGCTGGTGGCATTCCAATTTATTTGTGGTGTGTGGATTCGGGCAGGCATTGTTGTCTCCATCACCACGGGGTAGTGTGACTTGTGGGTGGGTCCATAGGGAGCACTACGGGAGTGAGGATAGAGGTGGCCACACTTAGTGGACTGCTGTAACGAGGGAGGCATATGGATTTCGGGCCGGTGTTAGTCGTTATCCTTGGCCGCTGGTAGTGAAACTTACGAAAGTTGTTCTCCGAGCGGGGACACTACGAGATTGAGGGAGGTGGCTTGGTGGCCACAAGAGTAAAGGAAAGGGATTACTGTTGATGCATGCACTGTATTTCAATTGAAATGTTGTATTAAATGTTGTCTTAATTGTGGAGTCATTCAAACTCCTGGGTCTGTCTCTACTTTCACTGTTTACTTTTCCTCTACTTCCTGTACTATTTACACTATCCACTCCTATTTCTCTTGAAAGAGAAGTGATTGGTCACACACTTCTCACCCCGCTCCAATCCGTGGTTACCATCGAGGGTACACGGATTCAGTGACTGGTCTACGTTTTGGGAAGACGCACTGGGAGGGACCCACCCTTCCTAGTGGCAGTCGAGCATTGTAGACGTTCTGTTTCATTTTCCTTTACCTATACTTGGGACGCTTTGTATAGGGGGATATGGGACAGGAAACGAGTAAGCCCGCTAGGGGCTGGCTCGCGTGTGATTTAGTTGAAGATAGAGAAGGTGAAGAACTGGTTAAAAATGTTGCAAAGATTGCTAAAGTGTGTAAAATTGCTGTGCCTTCATGTGGTAGATTATAGCCAGAAAGCTGGCGTAGATTACTGACAGAGAAGAAAGGCAAGCTTACAGATAATGATTTATTGCGTACTGCTGAAGCATGGTACAGAGTAGAAAGGCTATCCAGCAGGAGGGTTGGGTAGAGGAAGAGATAAATCATAAAGGGTTAAGAACTGTATGTATATCATAATAATTGTGTTACTGGGAAGTTATCCCAGCCAGTGCCCTGTCGGGGGTTCCAGGAGGTGACCACTTCCATCATCCTGTCAGTAATGACCGAAATGTAGCTGACCATGGTCACCATCCCACCCCAATCTTAAAACGCTGTGGGGTTTTTGTATTTTGTGTTAGCCATTACCCTGGTAGAGGGTGGGGGTTTAAATGAAATGTTGTGTTTTTGCTTTGTAATGTAATTGTCCTTCTGTCTTGTTACTGTACAGCGTTGACATGGTTAAATTCGTGCTGGCAGGCAGTCTCTCTCTTGTTCCACTCAAATCCCCCTCTGCTAAAACACCCCCCCCTCCCCTCGCTTCTGTGAGACGCGGGGGGGAGGGGGCGGAGGGGGGTGGTGACATGCTTGCGATTTAGGTCTGTCTCTTCGGTGTTCTGTAGAGTTATTCAGAAGCTACTGATAAGATTTTAGCAATTAAATTTTTGCTAGAAAATATTCTAATTGTGTATTTTGTTATCTCAATAGAAATTGATAGGATGGTTAGGGAGTGAATCTGATGCAGGAATAGAAGTTATTAAGTTAGTATATGTTTCTAGAGACAGCTTTGTGGGCTGTTAGATGTATAATATTCACAACTGTCTTATTTAATCCGTCAAGTCTGTCCACAGTTCAGATTTTCATTTTGCCGAACAGAATGTTACTTCCCATGAAACCCACGCCTCCAGAGAGACTTAGTATGCCCTAAAGGAAAATGGCCCCTAGAACAAAAGAAGGTTGTCCTTAAGTGCCTTCACTCTGCCCTTAGTGAGGTCATATCTGCCCATATATCGTGTCAGTTCTGGCCATCCATGGCTGACGAGATCTTCACGTGTTAAGTAACAATATGTATTAACTTTGTGTACAAAAAAAATTGATAACATGCTAAAAGAAATTTCTAATAAACAAAGATTTCTTGAACAAATGGTAATACAATTAAAGATTGGTCTCAAGATGTTTTGATCTAATTGAAAAGAACCAGAAAACATTATGAGCCTAACTACTAACAAATGGATAAGGGGGGAGGGTGTTCCAATCTGTCTTTATTAGATAATGTTAACCACCAAGATTAAAGACTGACTAACATATTTTTTTTAATGTAAGCCCAGATATTTTATTATTATATATGCATAGAAGTCGAGACTTTGGGCATTATAGTGTATTGATTCTAGATCTGTTACTAGCAGCAAGTGCTTAGCCTTATGCCTATCCCACGCATGCTTAAACACTCCTTTACTGTGTTAACCTCTATCACTTCAGCTGGAAGGCTATTCCATGCATCCACTACCCTCTCAGTAATGTAATACTTCCTGATAGTATTTTTATTTAAACCTTTGTCCCTCTATTTTTGAGACTATGTCCTCTTGTTATGGTAGTTTTCCTTCTTTTAAATATAGACTCCACTTTAACTGTGTTGATTCCCTTTGTGTATTTAAATGCTTTTATCATATTTCCCCTGTCTCGTCTTTCCACTAGGCTATACATGATAAGATCCTTTAACCTTTCCTGGTAAGTTTTATCCTACAATCCATGAACCAGTTTAGCAGCCCTTCTTTGAACTTTCTCTAAGGTATCCATGTCCTTCTAAGGATATGGTCTCCAGTACTGTATACAGTACTCCAAGTGAGGTCTCACCAGTGTTCTGTACAATGGCATGAGCACTTCCCTCTTCCTACTGCTAATACCTCTCCCTATACAACCAAGCATTCTGCTAGCTTTTCCTGCTGCTCTATTACATTGTACATTGTCATTAACAGACAGAAACTGGAAACCAGAAAGGATAAATTAATGTATAGCTAAATGTAAAGCTTAACAAAACCTCCATTATCTTTTTCATTTATCTCGCAGAAAAACAATGTTATTTGTCTATTTTGTAAGTTTTAATACATTATCAGTGAAGAGTAAAATAAGTTTTATCCCTTTTGCGAGACATAAAATTGCGATAATGTATATTTGTGATGTAAGTAAGAGTTATATTTTATAATAGGTTGAAAAAAAAAAAAAAAAAAAGAGAGAGTCAGGGATAGCGTCTGTCTCTACGAGCAAAAGTCTGGTGTGGGAGATGTAGTGGACTAGCCACTGCGGGATACCCACGGAGTGAAGCGTTCGAGGCCTGTACAGACAGATGTGCTTGTTAGCCTTTTATTATTTTTCTCTAGGGAAAGCATAGGGCCAGTTAACAGTTGTTGTACATGTGCTATTTGCAGCCTCCATTGCATTTCTACTTAATTCTGATTTCTGATGTATCCTCCACTGCTACATACCCACGCCTTCCACTCCTCCTATTCCTCCCTCCCACTCCACCTTCCCCTCCTCCTACTCCACCTTCTCCTCCTCCTACTCCTCCCTCCTCCTCTTATTCAATCCTACTCCTCCTATTCCTCCTTCTACTCCACCTTCTCCTCCCTCTACTCCACCTTCTCCTCCTCCTACTCCTCCTCCTACTCCTCCTCCTACTCCACCTTCTCCTCCTTCTACTTCTCTCTCCTCCTTCTTCTCCTCCTCTTTCTCCTCTCCTCTACTCCACCTTCTCCTCCTCCTACTCCTCCCTCTACTTCACCTTCCACTCCTCCTATTCCTCCCTCCCACTCCACCTTCCCCTCCTCCTACTCCACCTTCTCCTCCTCCTCCCTCCTCCCCTTATTCAATCCTACTCCTCCTATTCCTCCTTCTACTCCACCTTCTCCTCCCTCTACTCCACCTTCTCCTCCTCCTACTCCTCCCTCTACTTCACCTTCTACTCCACCTTCTCCTCCCTCAACTCCACCTTCTCCTCCTCCTACTCCTCCCTCTACTTCACCTTCTACTCCTCCTACTCCTCCCTCCTACTCCACCTTCTCCTCCTCCTACTCCTCTCTCTACTCCACCTTGTCCCCTACCTGACAACATTATATTTTGAAAAAAAAAAAAAAAAGTTGCTCTGGCCCCTCTTCCGCCACTTCCCAGGGGGGAATACCACACTAACAAAAAAAAAAAAAAATATATTATTATTCAGACTGTTTTGGGCACTCTCAAGGAAATAGTGCGGTCCTGACCCAGATTCCCATGGAAATAAGACACCTGTATCATCACTGGGAGGTGGCTGCCCCTCATGTTTTCTTCACTAAGTCCCCAGAAATCTCATAAAAGGAACCTGACTCAATAAAACATGAAACACTAAAAATCGATATCAGCTCTCTACAGAGGGGGGGGCAGCAAGAGAACTGTAAATGGAAAGACAAATACCCGGGACCTCACACACCCTGCAATGTTTGCATCTTTAAGCTTTTTTTTTTTTTTCTTTCCCAATGTCATCTGTGAAGAAGGCTTACACTTTTGAAAGAGATTCATCTGATGAAAGAAGAAATAAGACACCTCTCAACAAGGCATGCAGTAGCTTTGCCAGATCCTGACTCCACTCTGTTTGCGGATGAAGAGGAAAGGTACCATACTGGATTTGCTGTTGCTACAGAAGATCAGGTACGTCAAGCATCTTTACTTTCCTCACCCACATCTGCTCAAGACACCAAATTGACAGCCTCCTCAGTGGCATGCAAATTGTTTGTTTCTGAAAGACAAGGCCATGCAACAGGAGTGCTCACTCAGGCCCATGGTCCTGGAGGCCGCCAAGGGCCTATTGGATTTTTCTCCTGCCAACTGGATATTGTGGCCAGAGGACGTCCCTCTTGCCTTCGGGACGTCTTTGCTGCCAGAGAGCTCATTGAAAGAACTGGAGATCTTGTCCTTGGCCACCCCCTGGTTGTCTTGGCCCCCCATGACATTTCTGCCATAGTCAACCAGGTCCAACTTAAGCATGTTACTCCTGCTAGGCATCTTCGCCTTCAATGTCATCTTTTGTTGCCTGACAGCATTACCCTCCAAAGATGTCAAGTTCTCAATCCGTCCACTCTTCTGCCACTCCCTGAGGGGGGTGTATACTACGGATTCATCATGGACGAAACTTATGTTTTTCTTCTCACTGGCACCATCAAGAAGGAAATGCATCCCAACCTATCCTTTCATGATGGACAAGCACTCCTTCATGACGGAGCAGGATATGCCTTCTGTACCATGTGGTACAAATCAAACATCACTCCTGAAACCTGCTATGAAGATGAACTCTATCTTCTGGTCGAAGTAAAACTCACTGCACAAGACTTCTACTGTGATTCTGAAGGCAACAGTATGGTCTTGATTCATCTACCTCCGGAACTCAAGCATTTGTACCGTCATTGGGACACTGCCATTCCACATGTCCCTGTGACCAAGTTGAAAACAATATCATTGAATGATCTTGGGCCTATGGCAAAAGCATGGGCCACTATGGACGAATCACAGCTACAGGAAAATGGTGTTGTCAAATATCCAACAACTGACCACCTAAAAGCATGGCAGCGTCATTTCCTGGAGAATGAGTTCCAAGATTTAACCATAGTGAA